TCAGCATGGACTTGTTTGGTTCATTTTGTTATAGCGTTTTATAAAATTATTGCCATTTTGAAGATTTATAAATAGAAAATTGTATTTGTAGTTCATTGTGAATCTTGAACAAATAAATCGTCTTTGAAAGAAAATATCATATCAAGATATTCTTTTCATAGTGTTTAATCTAAATGTCTCCACCCATTTCCATGTAATAGAGAAACCGTAGTCTGATCGGGAAATGTTCCGGCATTTTTTGGTGTGCGATAGGTTTAAGAAATTGACTTGTATTTTTTGAAACGTTTAATTATTCATTATAAGTACACAAAGCTTTACCGTATTTGGCTGAATATAATACGCACTTTTTTCCCAAAATAATTTTCTGTGAGAAAGGGGTGCATATTTTACACCACAAAGGGATTTTGACAGGTTTTTCTTTCATGTGAAACATGGCTATCATACGCACATACCGTAGTATTACCTAGAGACTTATGCAATTTCTTGCTGTTTATCTCCGTATTTAAAACTTCGGAAAGTTATTGTTGGAATGTAGGCTTGTTAAAAATGTTATATTTATAACCTTTTGAAAGTTAAATTAAATTTAAAAGCAAGTTAAAATTAATTTGAGCTGCATGTTCATTGTCTCCGTGTAGGCCGCCATTAACGATGTTATTTATAGATGTTCACACATTCCTTTGCCACGTGCTTCCGTAATCATAGTACACATGTACCTAATCAGTCAGACACTTGGTCAGAAAAGTAATAAGTCATTTTTTAATGAAATACAATAAAATGAAATTTATTTTAGATTTTAAATAACTCAGTGAAAATTCATTTCAACATAAACACCCCTCTATAAGTCCCAGTGAATGGAAGCCAATGTTGTGAACACGTGCGCTTGTCACTCGATAATTACCCCTCAACACCATAAGCACTCCCCAACTTAATTGTTAAAAAATATATATCTACTATACTATAAACATAATAGTATAGTAGATATATATTTTTTAACAATTAAGCTGGGGAGTGCCTATGCTCAACACCCCCTCCAGGCAATTAATTTGTTTATCGACTCCAAAGCATTGTTTTTACAGTTAGAGCACTGATTATTTACTGCTCTTATTAATGGCTTTGATTATTTTCTTTGTTAAAAATCGGGGGTTGGTTTATGATCTTTCGTATGTATAAGCATGTGTTGATTACCACACATTAAACAGTTAAACGCTTGTTAAATGTAATTTTACTTTATCTTATATCGACCTCGTGTTAAAATGATTGAGAGTTAAAAAAGGAAATATGAAACTAAGTGTTATCATTTACTCGTGCTCTGTAGAAAATAAGATATCCATGAAGATTACCTCGATGTATGAAGACATATATCTCACCTTTGTACATCATTTTTCACAGCTTTGGAGGTGTATTGATAACTACACTTTACACGCTTGTTAAATTTTGATTTTATTTTTATAACATCAGCTTTTTAATTAATTAATTTCAAGTTCAAAAGAGGAAAATTGTAGTCTATGAATATGTTGCAATATCACTTGCCCTGTTAAATTTACATAATTTACCTTAAACTAAAAATAAATATGACAACTGTTAAACTTGCAACAATATCTCGTGCATTGTTGAAATAAACTTATTTCCACAAAGAGTAGTTAGAATATGGCGACGTATAATTTCAATGTCACCGTATGCTAAAGAAAAAATTAATAATAAACTCTGTTAATACTTTAATGCAACATTATCTTGTGCTTTAATAAAATAATTTCCTCCAGATTGCCGCGATATGGAAAGTCAAGATTAAGAAATAAAAACGCTTTTGAATAAAATATAGTATTCTGTTAATTTTCGGCCGATTTTCATAGCAAATTACCGCGATTTTCAAAAGTTCAGAACACCGCTTGGTAAAATTTTCTGCTGCGTATAATACAACTGAACTGCGTTTTTCCCCGTTTCAGGCTCAAAAAGGGGGGTGCGTATTTTACACCAATGCATATTCAGCCAAATACGGTAATTAGAAATACTTTGTTATACACAATGAAAACAAACAAAATACCGTATGATGATATTTAACCGGTAAACCAAGGGTGTGAAAAGGGACCACACTACTATACTTAAGTAGAATACTCCTTTTAAGTCCTTCATAGTTTTTCAACTGATTTAAAAGAGATGAGTTAAATATTCAGCATGAACGTGTTTACTTTCGATGGTGACTGGTTAATTCAAACCCCATTCTATTTGGAGCCCCAAACCTGTAATTTTGACATTTTGTTTAAAGTTAAATTTTTTTTATCAAACTCAAAAAGAACTTTTGATATTGTTTTTCATGTTTGATGTCATTGAAACCTTCCAGTTTTTTGATTATTTATTTGCAGAGTTTCATGTTCACAAAGCTGACAGATAGTTGTAATTTATTTTTCATTCTAATAAAAAACAATATGATTATAAGTATTGAAGTTTTATTAGGCTGAGCATCAGTTCATTACCGGTATTCATCATAAAAATACAGTCCAACTTCATTATCTTGAACTTGATGGGACAGAGAAAAAACTTCGAGATATCTGTGGGTTCAAGATATTGAGGGTAAAATACTTGAAGAAAAAGGGCTTGGGACTTTCCAATCACTTCGACATATCCATTGTATTTGAGATATCTGTGTTTGAGATACCGAAGTTCAACTGTATAATGAGCAATTAAATTTTCACTCTAAATGTTTAAATAAATTGTGGACACCTTTTAGATCAGTGACTTGGCACCTTTTCTGAAAAACGCAGCCTGGGATATTTTGCTTATTTTGGACAGTTCTAGTTATTTTCAACTTTTATTGGGTACAAATGTCAACTTTTTACAAAACCATTTCTTAGACTTCAAAGAACCTTGAATCATATCGAGATGCATGAAATAAAAATTGTTGCATGCAAAGATTTCAATTTCAAGCTTAATTTTGAGATTTTGACTTTAAATAATAATTCTAAGAGTTATTCTTCCTGGCTGAGGAGCTGATCTCCTTAATTGCAATTGATAAGTATCCGTCAAATTTAATAGTTCTTGTTGGGTTATAGCCATTACTTTCAAGATAAATTTGGTGTAAAGTTATTAAAACTAATTTTATATTGTACAGCTAAACTTCGAAATCTCGAACACGGATATCTCGAATACCCCGGATATGTCGAAGTAAGGCCGCGGTCCCGACGAAAATTGCTTTATAAATGATTAAAATAAACCCCTCTATGTTGAACACGGTAATGTCGAATACCCTGGTTATCTCGAAGTAAAATTGTGTACCCATTCATTAAAATCACATGCGTTATCTCGAAGTCAGGATAATTTTCCGCTCAGATGATCAAGTCCGTTAGGTAAAGTGAACACTCTATTGATAACAGCCACCTGTCTGTCACCCACGGATTACCTATATTCCTGTGATCAACAGATAATAGCGTGATAATTATACGAGGTGTATGTATGGCTTACCTTGATTTTAATTATGCAGGCCAAAGGTTGTGTGTATTAGTCTTATGCATACACATGGATGACACGTTAATTGTTTTGTGGCTGGGGTACTTTATCTTGATAATCGCTATATATTTAAGCATAGTTTATGCATATGAAAGTGAAAATTATAAACATCAAAGTGAAACAAAATTCTGTAATTTAATGCAATTAGAATTTATTTTTCCTATATGAGCGCGCAGAATTTACAATTGTCAGTACACATCGTCATGTGAGTGTGTGTCGCAGTGAAAACTCAAGTTGTGCTATAGTACGTGCCCTATGATTCAGCGTTGTTCTCTAGTTAGACAAAAGTGCGTGTTTCTTCTTTTGCATTTTATTTTATTACGGTAAAATATTTTCTTTTAACTGATTATACATGTGTGAACATGTTTTTCCAATAAAAAAAATGTATATATATTTCGTTTGAGTTATTCTGACAGCGACCAGTTTTAAATTTACAATGCATAGACAATATCCGGTTATGTATATATTGGAAATGATGCAAGCGGTTGACTTAAAGAGGATGTAAAAATCTTTTTAATGCTAAATACATGATTGTATATTAAAGAAATCGTAAACAAAATTTCAAACAAGAAGGAATTTTACATGTTTCTCCTATTAAGTGCATGTTCACTTCATTAGAATTATAACCCTCGATATGTCGAACCCCCGGATATCTCGAAGTTCATCAACAGTCCCGTCAACTTCGAGATAACGAAGTTTAACTGTATATATAATATTTATTATTTTTATATATATCTCAACAAAAAATTGCAGATTGTCATGTCTCGCTAAGATGACAGTTTTATAGCCCAAGAATAAGAAGAATTATTAGTGTTTTGATGTTTTAATAGGCTGTAGTATTGTTCATCATTCATAAAAAATACAATGAACAAAACTGCAGATGGGTATTTTTAAGACTGTAACACAACCAGTGGAGAAATATACAATATATTATTTGTTTTAATTAATAATTACACCACAGGAGATGCACTTCAAACATTAAGAATTGAAAAATCATTGAAATCTTTGTACCAAAGTTGATATGACTTTTCTCTTTGCACTTTAAACTGTTTATGGTGATTAAATTATATTTGATGGGTGTATCATCAGGAATTTATCAATGTTGTTTTAACTACCGCTAGTCTGAACCTTTCCTCTTTTGGAAAAAATGTCAGCATTCTCCTTTTAGTCACAGCAAATTTCCTGATTAAATATACATTTAAAATACATAATATAACCTAACATTTGTTTTTGTTTATAATAGTTCTAGAAATGATGGCCCAGATTAGCTCTCAGAGTGCAGATTTTTGCCTCACTTATTTGAAAATTTCCAGGGGGACATGCCCCTGGACTTCCATTGTATATTCAAACCTCTAGTGCTTGTGTCAACCAATTGTTCTCATTTTTCCCCTGTATATATGAATGGAGTAGTAATAAATTAGCTAGATGAATCCCTGATCATACGCTGTGGCCATGCACTTTATTACAGTTTTGTAATCAAAATTATATCTTGTTTTCAGCTGAAGTACCAGATGATGAGGAACAGTCGTAAGTTAAATACACTTGTTCTTGTATTGAATTCATTTAGTATATGTTAAAATTGCTTTTTTAAAAAGCATATTAACAGAGATATGGTAACTTTATTGTGATAGAAATTGGATTGTTTGCTACATGTATTTTGTTTTACAAATGCAGAGTTGCCAACCTTTACAATTTAAATGCAAGGCTTAGGGATGGAGCATCTTAAATATGCCTTACAATTTCCCTATCAATCTTCTGATGTCCTTTTTCGCAGTCAAAGGTTAGAAATACCCAAATTTTCATAGCTATCCATCTTCAGTTCTTGTTTCCCACTTTCACAAAAGCAAGGGGAATTAAATCTCATTTATCTGTCTGTCTATTTGTCTGTCACAAAAACTTTAACCTTGGTCATAACTTTTAAATGAGAAGAGATATGGCTTTCATATTTCACATGTACATTATCTGTGACAAGACCTTTCCAAATTTACTATGATTTTTTTTAACTGTGAGCTTTACCTTGGAGTTTAACCTAATTTTTAAGAATTTTGACATGTTTTTACCTGTGACAACTTCTTTTAGAAAGAGCAATCATTTTTAGATCACCTGAGTCGAATTGTCTGTCATTGTCTTTGACTTTTTACAATTGCATCTTCTTCTCCAGAACCACTGGGCCATTTTCAACCAAACTTTGCACAGAGTATCCTTGGGTAAAGTGGATTTAAGTTGGTTCAAATGAAGGGCCACACCCCCTTCCAAGGGGAGATAATTAAGAAAAAGTAAAAATTGGGTGGGGTTGTTTAAAAATCCTCTTCTCGGGCACCACTGGGCCAGAAAAGATGAAACTTAAGTGAAAGCTTCCTGACATGATTTAGATTCCAGTTTGTTCAAATCTTGACCCTCAGGGTAGGATGGAGTCACAATGGGTGATAAAAGTTTTACATGGGTAAATATAGGGAAAATCTTTCTTCTCAAGAGCAGCAAAGCCATGATTAGTCATAATTATATGGAAGCATCCATAGGCAGTATAGATTCAAATCATGAACAATGGGGATGGGGTTTGGCCACTAAAGGTGATCACAGTTTTACATGGGTATATCTATCTTTGAAAGTCTTCTTCTCAAGAAGACCAAAGCCATGATCACTCAATCTCAATGGAAACATCCTGTGGTAGTGTAGATTTAAAGAGCTAGGTTCATTAACTCCATAAAATGGCCCTGTCCCTATACCAATTAAATGACAAGGTCCCAATGTTTCACTTTAAACATCACCATAAAGTATAGACTTGGTGCTATCATTGCCTATGAATAAAATTTCCTTTGAGAGTTCAGGTATTGCAAAAAAGGTTTTGCAAAATTTCAATATTCTTGAATTTTGAAGAAAATGGATGAATTTGAGCATATTCACCTAATAATTAAAATATGAGCCCAACCCATGAACCAAACAAATTTTCATGGATAACAATCTTCTGGTACAGTTCTTTCATTATATAATCAAAAATTTTAGATCAGAGGTTGGGGGCTATAAAAAGTATTGAAAACAGCTTAAATTTTTGGCCATTTTTAAAGAAGTTTTCAGGATTTAAGGAACTTGACACAATTCATGATGTCATAATACATGGACTATAGAGAAAATTACGTCATTTTTAAATGATATGCTGTCATCAAGGGCCCAAGAAAAATTTAACATATTTTCAACTATTACAGAGCAATTTTGAATTTTCAGAAATTCACAGGACCAAGAAAGGCCTTAAGTGAACTTTGTTCTTTGTTCAAATCATAAGAATGCATTGGGAAAAAAATCTTTTAAAAATCTTCTTCTCAAGAATCTTTGCAAAAGCTTCCTGTAGTTTCAAATCATGACCCCATGGGGGTGGGATGGGGATGGGCAATCATAGTTTTACATAGGAAAATATACACAAAAAATATAGGAAAAATCTTTGCTCAAGAATGGCAAAACCATGTCAATTCACATTTCCATGGATTCATCCTTAGGTAGTGTATATTCAAGTTTGTTCAAATCATGCCCTGGGGAAAGGATGGGTCACATTGGGTATAAAAGTTAGGAATATATAGAAATTTCTTTGAATTTTAATTAAAATTCTTGAATATCTTTAAAAATTCTCTTTTCAAGAACAGGAAAGCCATGATTAGGCATTTATATGGAAGCATCTTCAGGTAGTGTAGGGTAAAATGGGGTTTCAATGGGTTGGCTAAATTTTACTTAGGAATACATAGGAAAAAGACTTTGCTGATGAAAAACAAGAATGGACATAGTTATTTAGGTGAGGGTTGTGGCCCATGGGTCTCTTGTTGAATTCCTGGCCTTGACTTAAAAGTTTGACCTACTCATTTAAGAGGCCTCGATTGTCGTGGCCATTTTATGACTGTATTGATTTCCTTTTAAAGAAGAGCTCCATATCAATATACAGGAAATACTCAAATTTAGAAGCTAAAGTATATGAATTTTTTCTAAATTAGATTATTGTTTATAGCTTTACAATTCATAAATTAAAATTTTAGGAAGATTTTATGGTGACTTGACCATCCAGCCTCCTTAATGTTTTAACTTTGGCTGTAACATTTGCTCCAGAAGAGATGGGGCTTTCATATTTTTTTCACAAGTGCATTACTTGTGACAATTAATGCATATATGGTAGAAAGAGTATCGCAGTAACCTTATTAAAAAATTTTAAATCAACAAATATTCCACTCGCCATGAATACAATTTGTGAATAACACTAGTAAAAGTAGGAACAAACACCCTATATGTTTCATGTCTTTATTAAATCAAAGATTACTTATTGCTGTGACTATAAACAATGTGGCTAGATTGAAGGAAATATTTTTATTAAGTACAACCACCCATATGGTTGTACAGTACACAGAAGAACACAAGTAGTCTGATCTTAGAATTAAAATCTATCAGAAGAAAATACAGGTTTGACACTTGTTGAGAAAGGACTTTGTGCCATGTTTACTTATTACTTCATACCTAACCCATTAAACAGTTGTTATTAATGCCACCAAAATAATCTTAATTATTTGTGATATGCAAGCAATTGACCAAATGTTTCAATAACAAGGTGGAGTTCTAAAAAGTTTATGACATTTGGATGCTGCTCTATTAAGGATGTATAATTTATGTCCCTGGTTCCATCACACTTTGTATAAGTAGTCACTATTACAGCATACTGTCATAACATTACGTGATCTAAGTCCTTGTGATGCTTTATAAAGATAATTAAAGTGTGTCTTCAAACATTTTCTGAATAGAAAATCTTGATATACGTAAATCTCAATTCCAATCTTAAAACTGGACGTCGCCAGCCCAAATTTTCTCAGTCGCGAAAATGCGAGCTTATTTTAATTTCTAGTTGCAAAATCAATTTTTTTTAGTCGCAACTAACTTTGATTCCCTATTGTTGCCCCACACTATCCACGGTGGCTATGATTTGAACATTTTAGAATCTACACTACCTCAGGAATCTGCCATATAAGTTTCACTTTTTCTAGCCCAGTAGTTCATGGCAAGAAGATTTTTAAAGATTTTTCCTATATATTTCAATGTAAAACTTTGATTCCCTATTGTGGCCCCACCCTAGCCCCAGGGGCCATGATTTGAACAATTTAGAATCTACACTACCTCAGGAAGCTTCACATAAGTTTCAGGTTTTCTGACCCAGTGGTTCTTGAGAAGATGATTTTTTAATGACCTCGCCCTATTTTTGTCTTTTCTTGCTTATCTCCTCTTGGAAGGGGGCTTGGTCCTTCATTTTAACAATTTAAAGTCCCCTTCACTCAAGAATGATTTGTACCAACTTTGGTTAAAATTGGCCCTCAGTAGTTCTTGAGAAGAAGTTGAAAATATGAAAATAAGTTTACAGATGGATGGATAGACGGGTGGACAACAGATGATCTGAAAAGCGCAGGTGAGCTAAAAATATAATGAAAGTAAAATTAAAAGATTTTACCAATATTTTATTCCATTTTGTTCATATATGACAAAAAATTGGTACTTTTTAGGTGATACTTTTGTAACCAGAGTTATGTAGGCGAAAGCTTGTCCACATCTCTGTAGAGAATAGGTTATGTCCATCAAAACTCAAAACCGACCCTGAAAGAGAAGCATGTAAAATTTCTGTCAAGTTAGTCAACCTGTCCTTTCTTAAAGTGTGAAAATGTACACTGGTAACAGGGAATCACTTCATGCATATATGCACATTGATGGCCAGGTTTGGAGATAATTAGAATTGACTGACAGCTCTGCATTGTTTAATCTTTAGATCTACTTTAAGGAGGCTGGGGGGTCAACAAATTAACCATCAGATATAATTTAATTTTTTAGATATGATATCTTAAACTGTCAACTATCATGTGGCAAACAAAAATTTCATACATTTTAGTTTTGAAATTTGATCATTTTTGTATATCTTTACATGGAGCTCTTCTTCTAAAGGAGATCAATATAGTCTGAAAATGGCCACAACCACCCAGCCCTCTTAAATGCTATCTTTTTTGTAATTTGTAAAAATCAAGATATCTGGGATTAAAGTGATTAAGACATTTTGTCTTGGAATAGAATTATTGCAGCATGATGTTTTAATGATTATCAATCAAAATGGCCCAACCACTCTATTGTTGCATATAAGAGCATAATGTACATGACTGTTTTACAGGCCACCACCTAAACCCAGGTCCCCCAGACTGAGGAAGAGAGTAGTACCAAAACCAGAACCTGAAGAAGTAGATGAAATGGATGACAGGTAAAATACAGTCTTACTTTATTGTATTGCTTCAATAAATTCACCAACAGTAATATACCCTGTATTGAAATCATGTATTAGGCCATCCTTAAATTTTTTTTACTGTAACGTGACAGACTCACCAAATCCACCCAACTCAATTTTTTTTACCTATTCAAGGTATGTATGTTTTTAGCTCAGGGCTATTCCAGGAAAAAATGTATGGGGGGGTTGGAAGGCACTTTTATTTTTACCCCACCGCCTATACATTTTTAATTACCTTCTCCCCCACCCCCCATCAAATTAAAAATGCTTTTGATACAACCACCCATCTAATTTTTTCAAAAAAATTGCCTTATAGTCAAATATATATATATAGAATAAAATTTTATGTACTCTTTTCAAATACTGTAATTTATCTGACTTTGGATGAGTTGTTGGCTTAAATTGGCCTCTATCCAAAGCAGGTTCCTGCTACCACAGCTTAATAAAGTATGCTCCTTTAGGTCTATGATACACAACACTTAAAGCCTTAATTATAGTAATTTGTATGATACATGACATTGTAATCTGTAAAGTTCAAGTAGTGGTAAAACTAATATACTAGACATGACATTCCTACAATTAATTAAAATAAATATTGTGAATTATAACATATAATTATTAGTTGATCTTTTACCTTGTTCATCACAATTAACAAAATGATCCTGATTTCTTTCTTTCTTTTTTTTTTTTTTTTGAAAGGGGGGGGGGGGGCTGAAGGGATGAACACATTACAGTTGACACTTAACAAGTTAAGGACTAGTATGTAACTGACATAATACTTTGTTTTAACCCATATCTCATCTTCCTTTTACACTGCAGGTGGTGTAAAATAAACTATTTGACTAAACTGGCGAAAAGAAACTGAAACACAAAGTCCAAAGCACAAGGAACCTCCACTGTCAGAGTGTCACATGCTCTTACAGTTATCTGCCCTTATTTCCGGTTTGTTCGATACTACTTTCACTTTCAATGTCAACAATAAATATAAAATAAACAGTAAATACAAACACCCATCTAAAAATATATCGAATGAGGACAACCACCCATACAAATTTAATTGCTCCAGCCCCACTACCGATAAAAAAATATATGAGGTGCCGTCCAACCCTCCCATACATTTTTTCCTGGAATAGCCCTCACCTGAGCGAAAGGCTCAAGTGAGCTTTTCTGATCGAAATTTGTCCGTTGTCTGTCGTCATTGTCATAAACTTTTCACATTTTCATCTTCTTCTCCAAAGTATCCTTGGGTGAAGGGGATTCAAGTCTGTTCAAATGAAGGGCCATGCCCTCCTCCAAGGGGAGATAATTACAAAATAGGGAAAAATTAATGGCATCATTGAAAAATCCTCTTCTCAAGAACGTATGGGCCAGGAAAGATGAAACTCATGTGGAATTATTGTCAGGTAGTATAGATTCAAGTTTGTTAAAATCATGACCCCCGGGGGTAGGGTTGGGCCACAATGGACGATCAAACTTTTATATAGGAATACCATATTGTCACATGTAAAGGCCGCACTCTTGTAATAAACGCACCCCCAAAGTTGGGGAAAATCCTGGGAAAAACACAGTTCCTATAGGTAAAACGCACCCCAAAAATGCAAATATGGAGGTATCTCTTATTTTCACAGCACAACTAATTCAAAGAAAAAGTTTAAAAAGTTAAAATATTCGTATCATTTCAAAAATGAAAGTAGGATACAACTTTTAATTTTCTTGGCAAATTCAGTTTACATATAAGCTTTTAGTTTGTATTTAATTGTCATTTGATTGGTAAAAATTTAAAGCTAAGTCCCTAATTTTTTTTCTATAACCCCAAGCGTGTTACAATATTGTGCTGACAATGCATTCCAAGCACCTGTCTGTGTTTACATAAACAAATCATCCCAAGCGTAGTTAGTGTCACACTTATGTATATAAGTGATATCGGGTACTAGTAATTAAAAAGGTGTGTAAAACATTTATTGTTAAATAAACTTTCCTGATTACGAGTG